AGCATTAAAACAATTCCCTAGGCAACCTCTCAGGCTGAGCCAGTGTTGTTAAAATAATGAGTTGTGCACCACTCAATCCAAAACCACCAGCTGATCCCCATTTCTAGAGACAATAGGTAGAAAAAAAACAGAAAACGTCTGCCACTGGTCAGATAATTTTTCACAAATCCTGTGTCTTCAACTGATAAAACTTAATATTTTTTTTCTCTGACAGCCTACCAGTATTTTTAGACCTAGAAAAAAGCATCTTTCAGAGTTTTCTTTTTTAAAGTAAGTAGCATTCTCAAACTTATTCCAGACAGCTAAAATTTAAAGAAACAGGAAGATTTCTAACAGTGTCCATGTACTCCACCTCCCAGAAAGTCTGCTTTCTTTTTTTTTTATATACCACATTATTGCTAAATTTGGTGTCTTGTTGCCAGGTTGAATCCTGTCTGTCCTTTCAGTAATGGTGCGTGCAATTATTCTTTCACATTTCAGAACAAGACACCCAAAGTTTTCTTTCTCTTCGTCTAAGTTTTGTAACATACAAAGGCCAGAAGTCTCAAGGACAAGTAAATCAGGAGAGTCCACTGAAAACAGGCAAACATTGTGCTTTATAACTCACGAGTTAAAGCACACTTTAAACAAAGAGCCTATGACTGGTTCATCAGATAAGGCTTATATCTCTCTCCCTGGAATTTAATAACACTTCTTTTAAGAACACTTTTTGGTCAGCTAGAGTTGAAGTTCCCAGAATTATATAGTTACCTAAATACAACAAAACCGGCACGGAGTATAATTCCCAGCTCATCGTATGTTCTGTTTTGTTGCTTTGGCTCTTTTTCCCCCTTGAAAAATAGTTTGCTGAGTAGATCCAAAAAATGCCTTGTTTGAGGGCTGATGAAGTACTTAATACCCCAAGAGGCTTGACTCACACCTATTTCAGCACCTTACAGGGTTAAGACCAAGTGCTCTCCCTCACTGTTACACCCTGCAACACTCTGGGTAGCGTCCTCGACTCTTCTCAGTGGGGTCACGACTTTACGTGAAGCCTCATTTAACACGGTCTGGCCTAAATTTAAGGCATACCAAACGGCTGCAGCTTTCTCTGGTTTTAGCTCACCGCCGAAGTGGGTCCTGCAACCGTTTTGACGCAGCCTTCAAGCAGAACCTCCCACAGCACATGGCAAAGCAGATTTCACCCCCAAGAAAGTGGGCAAAGAGCCCAAAGACGGCTGAAATTTTATCCGGCATGATTCATTATTTAACCAACAGAACAAATACGGCCAACACAACCGCTGGTGTAGCCCCTTATGACTCCGGCCGGCTCCAGGTGCACCTCGGAGTACCAAGGAACAGCCCATGGACCAGCTGTACTGCGGGCGCTGCCGCTTCCCTCGGGGACCCCACGATGCTCTCGAGGACGCCCCGGACCGGCTGCGGCTCCAGAGAAAGGAAAAGTCGCGGTTTCTTGAAAAAGCTACTATAACGGCGTCCCGTGAGGTACAGCGTTTCTCACCGACCACAGCAATATTTTATCGGGGGGGTAGTTACAGTGTGTAAACCCTTACCTTAACTTCCGGCGACAAACACAGCAAAAAACCGGCATTAATTCCCGAAGCAAGACCCCAGCGGAGGTTCCCCCAGAGGCGGGCAGTCCGCGCACGCCCCAGGACAGCTCCGTCCCACCACCGCTCCACAGCCACCCGCCTGCCCGCGCCTCAATGGCCAGGGGCTCGAAGGCTCCCGCCGGGGGCTCAGCCCGTCCGCACTCACCACAGGACGCCAGATTCAGATCAATCTCGTACCGCCGCAACCTGCTCTCCGGTTCAAACGCACGGCTCTGCCGCCCGGCCCAGCCGGGTCCGCCCTCCAGCGCGGAGCTCAGGGGAAACCCGGAGCAGCGCCGGACGCGGAATGGAGCGTGCTCCCGTCCGCTAGCGGGGCGGCGGTAGCGGCTGAGGCCAGCGATCCAGCCCCGTTGTTGCTGCGGCCCCGCGCCCGCTCCCATTCAACCTGCTCCATTGTGTGCGCTCCGAGCCGGTGGGGCGCCGTGCTGCCCCTCAGCGCTACCCCGCTTCACGGGCTGCCGCAGAACGAGGGGCCCTTCCCCTAGCCATGTCCCGGTAGAGTCTCCCCTTGGCGGAATCACAGAGCTCCCGAGCTGGGGGGGGAGCAGCCGCGGTGAGGCGGACCCTGAGGCTCACCTTCGTCCCGTCGGCGGCGGGTGTCATGGAGACGCGCGGGACGGCCCCGTCACCTCAGGGCATCGCGCAACAACGGCCACAACGCCGCACCTGCCGCGGGGCGGCGCGGAACGAGGCGAGCCCTGGGAGAGACCCGTCGCCTCCAGGAGTTGGAAAGAGCCTTTAGGGGCCTTCCTCCGAGCAGTGCGGGATTCCCCCCCCCCCCCCCCCCCCCCCGGGTAGGGGAATACCGCGTTGGCGGACTTCTGAAGTACTTTTTTGCTTTTAAAAATCTATGGTGACGTTCACCTGCCCTAACAGAGTGTAACTGCAGAGAAACGATAGCCGGTACCTGTACAGCCCCAGTGTCCCTGACATCCAGCATACCGACGGTGAACGGATGTCCTGGTGTGAAGGAATGCAGCTCTGTGCTGGAGGAGGTTAAGTATCGCGGTGGCGGTGAGGCCTCGTTCCATGCCCACAGCCAAACTCCGTTGTTTGTCTGAAAACAGAACAGCGCTGTGTCCACTGTTTTTGGGTGGGCTCCGGGGTTGGTGGTGTTTATGGCAACCATTTGCCTTGCATGCTGCACCAGCAATAAAAAGCCTGTGCAACACTGAAGATATTTTTCCTAGTGGGCCATTTGGAGGCCTTTCACTCCCTATGATCTTTTGAAGATGTTGTATTGCTCATGGCATATTCAGAGTTGCAGGGGAAAAGGCACAAGAGCACACAGTTTAATTCTTGTCCTTTCTGCTAATCACACAAGAACCGCATCCTCTGCTTGGAAATATTTTGATGTGCATTGCTGCTGTAGCTAAAGGAACAGGACTGTGCTCCTCAGGGGGAGCATGGGGTGGTTTTATATAATACAGAAACGTGTTGCTTCTCCCCCACCTCCCAGTCAGCTCCTCGACTCTGCAGAGCTGTTTGTTTCTACTCCTGTTACTGCTTTTTCAATAGACAGGCCTCCCACTGAGACAAGATCTGCAACCTCTCAAGCCTTGCATAGATGGAAAGCACAGCTTTGAACCCAATTGTGCTTATTTTGAGGGGGTAGGGTGTGTTGTTGTTTGTTTTTATTAAACAGATAAGCCCTGGATGATAAGGAAAACAGCATTAACAAACAATTACAGGACTTGACTCTCCCAAAATCATTTGTCCCTGCAATCACAAATCCCACACCACTTGGTTACTCTCTGTGAGATTAGTGTTGTCCACCACAGTGCTGATCCTGTATACAAAACCAGCTCCCTGTATTTGTATTCTGACCAAGAACTGTAGTAAGAGCACATCACCAAAACCTCTTGCCTTGTGCAACAAACATGAAAAGATATTAGAGGGCTGAATCCAAATATTTGGATATCCCTCTCCACAGTTCCTTCTAAAATTATTTCTGTTAGATTATTTTACTACCAATAGAGGGAACTTTAAAATTTGGTTCAGACCAAGGTGTGTGTGGGGGGGCCTTCCTTGACAGAAGTGATGAAGCAGCCCTATTGCCACCTTTTAAAAACCCTTCATAAGCCACAACCTACCAGAAATGATACAGCAATTCACTGTAATTTAGACAAATCCATTCTGAATTCATCAAGGGTAAAAATGGATAAGAGTCAGGACTGTGAGGGAACAAACTTGCTTCACATTCACTCACAATTCACCTCTGCTTGCTAGAAATGTAGCATGCAGCTTCCTGAGATTTTGCTCTCAGCTTTACAGTGGATTTTTGTGACCAATCCTTTTATGACTCATTAACAAAAGAGAGTGGCAAGTGCACATAGAATTATGTTTATTACAGAAAAAAAATACGTAACAATACAATTATACCCACTTTGGAAAAGCACTTTCTACATACTAGGTGCAGGAACTGAAACACCTATAATTCCCTGTGGGAAGTGGATTAATGCTTAGATTGAATTTGTAGTTTGGGGTTCAAAGTCACCTTTGAGTTTTGCTTCAGAGGATGCTACAGCTGATCCTGAATCCCTGTGGCATTCTCCAAAGAAAGGAGTTACGTCTAAACCACAGCAGTGGTTGGCCCAGCCCTTCACTGTATAATGCATAAAACCAGGTGCCTCACTTTTAGCAGGCACAGATACCCAATTTCCAGCTCCTGTTGAGGCCTGCTTCAAGCCTGTTTCCCCTCTCCCCCACACTGGTTTCTTACACAGAGATCTGTGCTGCAGGTTCTTCACTGCCAGCTGCTCACTGTGCTTTGCAAACACTAATCTCACCCCTCAGAGGATCCAGGAACTAAAGCAGTAAAGAAGCACTAACATCTATTCTCACTTTAGGATCTCAGGATTCACAATTTTGCCCTAAGCAGAAAAAATGATGACATAACAGCTACTTGTCAGACAAGCAACGCTCAGCTATCAAAATTTTTTATACCACGCTCCTCTCCCTAGTATTTCATTGCAAGGAATCACACAGAAAGAAAGAAAATCTGTAAAACACTTCACTTTAAATAAATATTGGGACTGTGAGAGGTTAAACAAAGGTCAAGTGCTTGATATATAAAACATGTAACAATGAACATAAGAATTCAGTTTTTATTCTGAGAATATTTACAAAAAAGTAAGACACTCTCATATACTTAAGATGCATTTCCATATAAAATAAGAATTTAGTAAGTTCTTAGCACAGTATGGTCCATCTTTTCAAACTTCATGTTAAACTTACATTCGCATCTGATTTTAGATATTTATGGAACCATCAGAAAAAACAGCATACATTTTTCCTCTTCAAGTGAATGTTGCCTTCTCTTTGGACTACTGGCATATTAATTTATATTCCTTGATATACCAAGTGATTTTTTTTTTCCCCAAGACATTTTAGTTGTTATGACCTTATCAGATGTTTAGGGTCAGCTGTAACAAATTACCTTTAATATCAGGAACAGTGCAACCCATTATTCAAGATGAAAGACTTTTTAAAACACAAATGATACACAAAAGTAGTGTAAGAACTGAATTCAGACAAAATGCTTGTGTGTAAATACCACAAGCTTTGTAAAGATATGAAAAGTTTTCTAACCAGTGATGGCTATGTAGCAATGACATGTAGCAGAGAAGCATTTAAGGCAATAAACTGTGAACAAACACTCTGTACCTCTTAAAAACTGGGTTGTTGATTGCTTTCACCAGTTGATTAAGAGAGATGTACAGGTTATTTAGCAGGTGAAAAACTGGGCAACTAATTTAGGACATTGCTGTAGCAAAGTTCAGCTTCAGAACTGCATACTACTACTAAATTTCAATCCCACATGGGTTATAAAATGGCATTAAGTGAGTTTTCTGTTCAAGACAGGGACCCTCAAAATTATGGCACTGGTTTTTACCATAAACTTACACTATACATCAAGCACATAACACAGGTAGCCCCTTTTTATTTAAACAGAGCGTCTTAACCAGCTCACAAATTGTTTCAATGTTTTTACAAATTTATTCTTACTTATACGATCTCTAATTCTTTCAGAGTAACTTTCTTCTTGCCATATTCCTTTATTTTTCTTCAAGGCCTTTAACTCTGCTCGAAGGAGTCTTTTGTGAAGTTTCCAGTACAGGCGGGAATCGTGATGCAGTCCTTTAATATGCGCCGTTCTGCCAAGCCCCTGTCTCAAGATCTCTTCATTTAAACACATGCTGAGAAATCGACCCTATAAAAAGGCACAATAAACATACTCCACCTTTAAAGTTGTTTTATTTATGTTTTTGTGTCAGCTCCTCTGAGATACAAGCTTTAGTTATGGCTAAATCTATACTCCGGCAGAAACAGCTAAAAGGATTCTGGCTGAATTAAAAATGAATACTGATGATAAATATAGCATTTTACAGCTAAATTTATAAATACTAAGACATTTGTGAGAGAACATTTGACAGACTAAACATTAGGCTAATCAGAACTACACAGTATAGCCTATTGACAGAAATAGGCTATATTGAGAGAAATACTCTGTCATCAAAAACACCGGTCTTGAAATCAGAGCTGCAAATATGACATTTAAAATTCATATAAAGATACATAAATTATAAATAATCATCTTCCTTGAAGGTACTGAGATGACTGGATTGTATAACTGCAGTCAAACTCAAAACTGCAGATAAAAGTAAATTTTTTGTTGCTATATTTACCTTATTTACTAAAACTAGGCACTCTAGTGCCAAGTCCTCTCTTCCCAGAAGTTGGAACCATATCATCTGCTGGGGTTTTAACTCTTGCTGTAACCAGACCATGCCACTTGGTGCCAACTCCACTCCAGCAAGTCTTACCAGTAGAAGACCTTTTGATTGCCCTGATTAGAGAAAGAACTTTGTTACTGAACCCAGCAAAGGAATTTCAGGCTTTGCACAGACCCTCAGCTGCTAGTAATGGATTTATTCCCATGGACTTAAAAGGCAAAAATAACCCATTGTGGTTCCCCAAAGCACTACTTACTTGTAAATAAGAATTTGGTCTCATCTTTCCTTTAGTAAAAAAAAGTTATTCAAGATTGTGTAAGTGGTTTAATCTAGCTTCTTTTATTTTAAGCTATTTTATTTTTCACACAGAAAGAACTGCTTTCATTATCAGTCATTCTCATTTTATCTCAAGGGAGAGGAATAACAGGCAAGAAGCATTAGCACCCCCAAGTATTTGCAAAGCAAGTGTGTGTGCCTCACAGGCTTCAGGGACAGCTTTCACCAGGTCACAGCAAAACTGTCCCCAAGAGTGGGTTTGTAGAGGCAGGTGGCCAATCTTCGGGGTAAAAGAAAGCACCACCCCAACAGTCTTTTTGCCAGGAATAAGGTGAGCTATGCAAGCAGCTGAACTGCTGGTGTGCTAGCTTTTTAGAAAAATATCACAATAATGATGCTGGTTAATACCTATATTATATTGGTGAGCTCTTTTTACAGGTCTCCTTGCAGTCTTTTATTCCCCCACTTTCTACCTGTGAAGTACAGAAAGACCAAAAGGCACAGGCAGGACTGTACCTTGCCCACCAGCCTGCCGCAGCCTGTTCTCTGTGCAGCCATAGTAACAGCCCCAACATTCCATTCCCACCCTTGTCCTTTGTGTTCTTCTACTCACATTTTCTCTGTACTGCTGTAATAAAAGGAATGCTAATGGGAATGTGTTCAACTTCCAGGCCTTTCTCCGTTATGCAATGTAATTTCCCCCTCAATTTCACATTCTTTTCTACAAACTCCACAGGTATATCCAAAGCCCTTGAAAACTTTGTTGTCTATTGATGGGAAGAAGAAGACAAAGTTTTAAGGGAAAAAAACCTAAACAAACAAACCAAAATCATAAAGCAGTAAATCATACTAAATCCAACTTCTTCCTAAAATTGTTTGGCAAACTGCGATTATTAGACAGAAGAGACAAATATATATGTGTGTGTGCATATACATATATTTAATAGTAATCAGCTGCAGAAGCCATTATGTGCCAGCCATTCCAGACACTTGTAATGTTCCATGTTGTACAGGCCTTGCAACATCGGGGGTGGGCATGAGAGCAAGGTTTATAGAAAGCACAGAAAACGACATTTTTGAGCAATATGAATTGAAGTTCTCTTGATTCACTATGAAAAGGGTGTTTTGAAAGTGGGTTGAACAGTGCTAGGATAAAAGTGAAGGAAAGCCAAGATGTGCTTAAAGATGCTAGCAGAGAACAGACACACTGAAAACCAAGGCGGCGCAGGTAGAACCAACACAGCCTTTGGTAAGGGACTGAAAGAGGAGACGGAGAAGCAGATGCACACCTTTGAAGAGATCACAGTAAGACTAAATTTGCTACTAGGAGGATCCAAAGGGGTAAGTTATGTGATCACACAGGGAAAGTGCTTAGCAGCAGCAAAGCCTTGCTTGGCAGCACAGGAATGAAGCAGCCACAGGTTTAGTGGGCAGAGGAGGAAGGACGGGAGCTGGGAATAGAACAGCGCCCAGGATTTAAGACCCTAAAATCTAGAAGTGCCACTAGTCTTCTGCAGAGCACTTGACACACATCTGTACAGCTGTGAAAAATACCGACCTGCTGATGTACCCCGGCTGGAACACACCAGCCCTCTGGAAGTAAAAAAACCTGACCCACCACGACTAAACTCAAAGATCTTTCTCCTGAATGTTATTTATTCAGGCAACCTTCCCATCTGGGGTCCAAGCCTGTAAGCCCGAAAACAGACCGGGGGCGAGGAAGGCGTCCCGCCCCAGCCGCGCTGCTGCTGCTCGGGCAGAGACACGAGTAACACCGCACCTCCACCGTCCCTCCGGCGCGGGCCCTCTGAAGTCCCCGGGCCGCGCTGGGCTCCCCGCCGTCCGCCGGCACCCGGCAGCGCCCCGCGGAGCCGCGGCCGCCCCGCACACACTCACCATACGCACGCTCCGGGCCAGCACCAGCACCCCGGCCACCGCCATCCCAGTGCTCAGGCTCTGCAGGCAGAGGACAGCAGGGCTCAGCGGCGCGGCCCTGGCTCCTGCCCCCGCCCCTCACCCGCGCCCTGCCGGTCCCGTCACCCTCAGCAGGCCGAGGTGCGCGTCTGCCCACTCGGACAGGCGGGCTAGGGCCTCCGCCGCGCCGCTCCTCCGTTCCGCCATGGCCGCACGGCGCCTCCCCGCAGCGCCGCCCGCTGGCCGGGCTGCCGGGGCGGGGACAGGAGCTGCCGCGGGGCCGGGCCCAGCGGCGGGCTGTATGCATTGGGCCTCCAAACACAAACCCGTTAAGGCGGCTCCAGTCTCGGCCTAGGTAGCATTTTAACGCGGCTGTGACGGCCATAACCCTCCAAACTGCACTACACCTCCCCTGAGCCCTGAGGTGCGGTACCGCTACCGGACAGGTCCCCTGCTGCACCTCGGGGCACCATCTGAAGAGAAAACCCACCTGTGGAACACTTCCACACTCATCTCTGTTGTTTATTCTTTTCTCTACAGTAATTCACAACAACTACTTGTCACTCCTTTCCAAATGGCTCTAGCTACCTGTTCCCTCAGCTGCATTAAATGCCCACCTCTGCAATGCATCTCTGTGGGCTTCAAAGAAATACATGCATTGTAAGAATCACAGAAGCAGGGAATGTTTTGGGTTGGGCCTTAAGGATCATCTAGTTCCAACCACCCTGCCATGGGCAGGTGCACCTAACACTAGAGCAAGTTGCTTAGAGCCCCATCTGCCCTGGCCTTGAACACTTCCAGGGATGGGGCAGCCACAGCTGCTCTGGGCAACTTCTGCCAGTGCCTTGCCATGCTCACAGTAATGAATTTTTTTCCTAATATCTGATCTAAATCTAATAATAATAATATTATAATTTAATTATAGTAACCTGGATTTTGTTTACACAAGTCTACCATTTAAACCCAGTTCTAGGTTTCTACACGAACAGACCATACATGAGACAGTAACAGTCACAAATCAGGGTTCCAGGAGAAGATACTTAGCTGGGAATTCATAACCCGAGGCAGCAAAACCCATACTTTAGTCACAAAAATTTATCTAAGGTTGAAACTAAAGGGCAATGAAACAAAACAGCTTACAGAAAACAAAGAAGTGGACAGTGGGCACTGGCAGATTCTTCAGCACCTGTAACACAGATGAAATGTAGCGTTGGTATTTTAAAACAAGAGCAGCCAGTTGTTTTGATGGTGCACCGGCAGTGCTGAAGTTCCCAAGCCACCAGACTGGCATGCTCTGTCCTCAGCTGTTTGCTCACGGGCCACAGGAGGCAGGGTGCAACAGCAGCCTGATCCCATTTTACAGAACTTGTTGGATGTTACACTTTGCCGCACGCATGAGCCTTCTGGGCATGGGAATTAAAGAATTGAATTCTGCAGTGCTGGTATTTGCTGCTTAAGGAAGTCTTGGGAAACAAGAACAAGTCCCAGCTGTGAGCGCAGGTGACAATGACTTTCCTGCATGGTAAGCCGCTGTAATGACCCAGCACTGGAAGGGGAGAGCTGTCCACTACCTCCCCTCCCCATGTCCTGCTACACCCACCCCTTGGTCCACCCTCTCCCCTGGGACCTGTCTCACTTCACAATGATCCTGCACAGGAACTGGGACAAACCCTTCACCTACAAAAATCCAATTTCTGCCATTTCCCTTTTGCTGGAGATAACACACATCTGACTCCCATGACTCACTCAGGCCAGGCAGGAGCACAAAGCCCTGCAGTTACCAAGTGATCTAGAGCAGCACCTAGAACCATCCACCTTCTTGAACTCCCATTTTAATAACACTCTCAAGGAAGAGGTTGGGTTGCCACTTGTCTGTTTTAAAAGTTATTTTTTTACTGCTAGAGATGTTTAAATCTACAGTAATTATAATCTTAAAAAAATTAAATCACTTTATACTAATGTTAGGAGAACAAACAGCGAGACCTAAAGTTTACTAGTTCTTTTCACCAACCTGCTAATGGGCTGGTACAGTAGGATCACTTCCAATTTGCGTTACAAAACAAAAAACTCTAAAGCATTTAAGAATATAATTTCTCATATTCTCCACTTGAGAGGTTTTTCCTCTAGTTCAGAAAAGTTAATGAAAAAATATATCTTTAATTATGAACAAGATGCAGTTAAAGTGGCCCATTGTTTCAGTAGAGACACAGAACTGAAGTGCCTTTTACAGTTAATCCAGCAGAGATGATCTGCTGAAACCTGTGTGCACCACTGACTATGAATCTCCAACATAATCTTGTATTTTTTTTGTGTTTATGCGGAGGTGAAATTAGAAGACCTCTTCTACAGAGACAGGCAGAGAGAGCTGGGCTCATTCAGGCTGGAGAAGACTCCAGGGAGGCCTTTTAACAAACTTCCAGTACCTAAAGGTACTCTCCAGAAAGCTGGAGAGGGAATTTTTACAGGGGCATGCAGGGACAGGACAAGGGGGAATGGCTTTAACCTGACAGAGGGGAGATTCAGATTAGGTACTAGGAAAAAAAAAATCTTCACTATGAGGGTGATGAGGCACTGGCACAGGTTGGCCAGAGCAGCTGTGGCTGCCCCATCCCTGGCAGCATTGAAGGCCAGGTTGGACAGGGCTTGGAGCAACCTGCTCCAGTGGAAGGGGTCTGTGCCTGTGGCAGGGGGGCTGGAATTAGATGATCTCTAATGTCCTTCCCAACCCAAATCATTCTATAACTTTCCATCTGGGGAGTAAAACCAATGTGATTTTATTTATCTTGACTGATGTACAGCTCAGGGCTCGGTGCTCTGAGAAGAGGGAGAGGAGGCAGAGGAACAAGGCTCAGTGCCCAGGGAAGCACTTGGTCACTCTCTGCTTCTAGACACGTTCTTGGTCCTTGTGTCATGCAGACACTTTGTACACACATCCCCTCCAGCCAGTGAAAAGTCACTATCGATTTACTTTTCCCAAAAAACATACAGTAACAAAAGATCCATAAGCCCTTCTGGAGCTTGGAGCACTGAGCTTAAGATACAACACTACAAATATTGACAAGGCAAGAAACACAGAATAGAAAAAAAAAAAAAATCAGGTACCTTTCAAAGGGATTTTTAATAGTTTTCTTCTTTAATAATGATGTGCTATATGCATGGAACAGTGTCCAAGTGCCCTCTCTCCAGGCATCCAGTGTGCTTGCTGTATATCGCTAAGGCACTCGGGAAGGAAGTAACTTTTGATAAATGCAACGGGAATGTTTCCACCACACAGCATCAGTAATAAATTTCTGTAGCAGCTCTACCACAGGGTTTATCTCATCTGATTTATGTGACACCAAGTCATACACCAACCCCTGGGAGTGTTTCAGGTTTGTCGTCACCAAATCACTTTCAAAGGCACTGATCACCTTTCCTTTCCACTATCTGGGAAGGGTCCCATTTTTTCCCACTGATTTTGAAACTGAATATTTGAATTTTAGTCACATAGAGGAACCAACTCCATGGATTCATTCCCTCATAATAACAGCTGCCTTCCAAGGGCTTTTTTGTGTGCTACCTGCTACGCTATCCAGTCTATACCTCTATGAACTCAAGGCTTAGAGTATTGTGCGTTATTCAAGTCCTATCTTACAGCATTTTTTTTTTCCAAGAAAGTACCTGAATGTAAATCAAAATGCTTTGAAACAGCAGAAATAAATTAAACAAATGTAATTTGTTTATAAAAATATTTTCTTATAAATCTTTAAAGCTTATAAAAGCCAGAAAATACATTTAAAAGAATCTCTGAAAGATTTCATCCTTTTTTGAGGTGTGGTTACAGTTCAGAAAGGGGGAAGAAACAAAGCCCACAGACATTTCACTTTTATCTTCCCGCAAGGAATTCTGTAGTACAACACGCTTAATCTACACGTCAAACTGCCCTTGATGTCCTTCCCCGGGTCAACGCCCTGTGTCAGATCATTGCTGTTTGAAAATGAAGTCATAACTTAATTGACAACGCTGCTGTTCAGACAGACATGGCACAATTAGCTTTTCCATAGGTACTCTATGGAAATTCAGGTGTTAGACCAGCAGCTACGACTGAAGCTAGAGCTCAGGGATATGGATGTAGGATGCAAGTGTCATTTTTTTAACAGTTACTTTCTGAACTTATATTTTCATATTAGGAGGGCAAGCGGTATCACATACAACCATACCACCGCCTCAGCCACCCCTTTTGTCAGTGATGGGGCATTAAAAAATACCTATATTCCTGTTTATTGATTATGGGATATGTCTTTGTAATAAAACTAAAAAGACCTTGCTAGTCCATCCAATATTTAAACTGCATCAATTGCTCCTCTTGCACTTCCATGCAGACTGTCCTTCATCCTGCAGCTTTTTGAATTTTGGGCCCAATAGAAACCACCAGCCAAATCCCAGAATGACACAGATGATGGATTCCACATAGTAACCATCCAAGGTAGTAACACAGGAACCACCAGCTTTTGTGCAGAGCTAAAACAGAGAAGCAGAAGTTGATGCAGTAAGTATTCTCTGGGTCATACAGAAACACAGACTTTCAGAAAACAGGCATCAGATATCCACTGCTTTTTACTTGCGTTTATTTACTCTTCTTTCATTTGTATGGAGTTATGAGAGAGGCTTTTGATCTTATCACTATGAAAATAAGAAACTGTTAAAAAACATTTGGGGAATGGAGCATATTGGCCCAAGGGGTGCACTCTAGAAAACAGAAGCTGCCCAGCTGCCTCATGTTGACCTGGAGGTGGGAACACTGTTCTTAATCACACAAAAAGAAAGGTTTGTTGTTTGGTTTTTTTTTTCTTCCATAGCCATCCAAATGGCTTCTTTAGAAACTATATCCTTGCATCTCACCACAATAGTGGTACAAAATGCTGCGTATGTCTGGAAGAAAACATGCCCAGGATGGTTTATAATGCAAATCTGGAAGTCAAATACTCCAGCACTTACAGGGTAAATATGTAGCACACAATTGTTTCCGCTATTGTTCAGCTTCCAGTACTACCATAACCCCAAGATAAATCAATTCTCCAAGCTGAGAGTCTGCCAGCACTTTGATTGCTCTTGGACACATCAAGATCAGATTAGCAATAAAAGGGGAGTGGTGGCAGTGGTGGAACATTACCAATTGAGAGGCTGTGAAAAAAGATCAGGAGTGAGGTGAAGGATGATGGACTTAAATTCAGCACAGGTCGAGGGAACCTAATAGGTGGTAAGCTAATGAGAGGCAGGCTGAAAATGC